CGGGCTAGGAGTGAGACATGCTCCTTGTTAGGTAGACAGAGCGGGGGCAGGGCTCTACCTAGGTAATGGTAAAGAAGGTGGTGCATTTCCTCAACCTCCTGACCTGAGACAAAAGCCTGGAAGCTTTTGGGTCCTAGCATCAGGCCTCCTGCTGATGGACTGGCTCAACAGCTTCAAGGCCAGATCAAGACTTATCACTCAAGTGTTACCAACCAATTAACTGCCTTCAAACTGACCAATCCTAAATAGGGGAGGAAAACTCTTGAGAGGCTTTAAAACCTCCATCACTGGAGAAGAGACTAGCGTTCTGGCTTCCCCCTTTGCTTTAGAGGGTCTTTCTCTCTGTGTGACTGCTGCACCTGTGTGTTTCTTCATGCCCCAATAAACAGCTTTCTTCAACCTCACTATCTCAGATTTCTCTGCTGCCACCTGCTATGCTTCTGATTTTGCCTGGCAGAGAAAATTAACCCCATCCAGACCCCAGGTCCCTGGACTGTATCAGCACCGTCTTAGATGAATGCTAGTCCTCCCCAAACAGGGTTCCATCTCCTAAGGAAAATACATCTCCCTACCTGCCCCACCCCAGTTGTTAGCATGCTGCTATCTGAAGAAAAAGAAACAATTTTAGGAAAATGGAATGTAAGTCATTTTTCAACCACAAACAACAGACAAATGCACAGTTGGTATTTTCAGTAATTTTGTGGGGTACTTCCAGTGTTTATTATGGCTGGCTCTCCCTCAGTGTGTGTCTGTCTCTCTAATTCTGATGAACCTCTCTTTCCAAGTTAGAGTCTCTGGAATGCTGGCTAAGTAAGCATTTTCTTTTCTAACTGCTCCCATATCTAAATCTTCCGTCAGAAATAAATGTAGCATCAAGCAGACAGCTTACTACTCTTCTCTATTTTAATCCAAGCATAAAAAGCCCATACTCTGAGCAGCCACAGTTTGTGGAGCCTGCCCAGGTATTTGTTTATTTTTGCTTTCCAACTCCTTGGAATGTATCTATCTTTCCTGCCTTTCACTGCAGAAATCCGTAACTCTTCTATTCACACAGACACTTCAAAGACCCCAAGGAACCGAAATGTTCAGTCCTTTAACACAAATGAGACATTGGCCTCTCACCATGCTCCCTACTGGGATCAGGGCAGCTTCTCATTCTCCATCATCTGCTGAGCTGCTGGCCAGTTTCTCACCCATCCAAGTTCAAAGCAGGAAGACAGGACTGCACTGGCCTTATTCTCTGTGTGTGCTCAGTGACACCATCTTCTTTCCGGTGGCCCTTCATCACCTCCTCTACTCAAAACTCCCTGCTCCTGTGTCCTCACTCTCTAGCTGATTATCCTTCCCAAGTGGTTCCTCTTGGTACCATGAAATGTCCAAGCATCTTTTTCCTCACCAAATTTGAACAAAGCAGGTTGATTCGGCTACCCAGGAATCTCATGAATTGCATATGCAGGAAGCACATATGCAGCTCAATTCATGTTCCCTTGAAGGCCCAGTCACTGGGCTTAGCATAGGAGAGTGCAACAGATCTCTCTGAAGACACCTCTTCAGCTTCTTCTTCTCTCAGCCCATACATTCTTCATCTTTTTGTATCTTAGTTATGCCGGGAATGTAACACAGGGTCTCACTTTTGGTAGGTAAGTTCTCCATCATTGAGCTATACCATCAATCGAGCACTCAGATATTCATTCTCTGTCTGTCTGTCTCTCTCTCTCTGTGTGTGTGCATACACACAGGTGCATATTCTATAGGTGCTTCTCCAGACGTATGCCTATATGTGTGGAGGTCAGAGGTCAATTTCAGATGTCTTCCTCTAATCCTCTCCACCTTTATTTTTTGAGACAGGGTCTTTCATTGAACCTGAAGCTCACTGATTGCACTGGACCAACTAATCAATGAGCTTCAGGGATCCACTTGTCTCTGCCTTCACCCTGAGAACTAGGGCTACAGGCATGACCCATTGGACTTAGCCTTATCCACGGATTCTGGAGAAGCAGACTCAGGCCCTCATGTTTGCAAGATAGGCACCTTGCCAACTGAGCCATCTCCCTAGCTCAACCCTCACATTTTTGGAGTGGCTAGTGGGCTCACAGTTTACTGAGATGTTTTCAGGTAGACCTTGAACTTTTCTCTTGGCAGTAGACTGTTTTCGTTTGGAAGTTCTCAGAACTTGAAAGTGTATACCTTGGTCAAAAAGCTTAGTTTGGTGCCCTCACATCATCTATGGTCACGTGTGTGTATGTGTGTGTGTGTGTGTGTGTGTGATTGAGTGCTAATTTTTTTTATTCTTTTTCTTATTTTCCAGCAGAATTGAATGCGAGCATTAGAAAACAAGACCCAGTGCCCTCTACTCCTATGGGAAACCCCTCTTCTTCACCATCCTGACCACTAATCTTAGGTATGATGCCACATCCTGCTAGGTAGCTATCTCAGGACTGGTTCAAATGCTGGTATGTCTCTTCGCTGCCAGATTAATGTCTGCTCCTCTGGTGACCTGGTCTCCAGATCCTTGTCACAAGACACCTTCTTCCAGATTCTTTGAAGTGGCCCCTGCCTCTAAATAGGGACTGTTCAGAGCTGAACATGGAATGGAGTGGACCCTGGGCTCCTCTGATCCTAACACCACATGGGGGAGGGCAACAATGATTATGTGTGAGGCTCTAATCCCAGATCTCATGTCTATTGCCTCTGTAACCATGGACAAATATCTTATTCCTCTGCACCTCTGGCTCTTCATTTGTTTTTTGGTTTGTTTTTGTTTGTTTTTTTGTTTGTTTGTTTTGTTTTCTGAGACAGAGACAGGGCTTCTCTGTGTAGCCTTGTCTGTCCTAGACTCACTCTGTAGCCCAGCCTGACTTCGAACTCACAGAGATACACCTGCCTCTGCCTCCCTGAGTGCTAGGATTACAGGCGTGCAGCACTACACCCAGCTATCTCTTCATTTGTTAAATGAGCAAAGTGATACATTCCCACCCCGTGGGGTTGTTAAAGTGTTGGGGTATAACTGTGAGCATGCCTGCTTCCCTGACACTTAAAAAGCTCCACACAGATACACATGAGGAATGGCATGTCTTCATCAATGAAATCCAAGTCTGTTCTCCAGGGCTCACTTAGCTTGCAGACTATTGAAACCCTAGGATGCCTTTCACACATGAATGTAGATCATCTCTTCTCTTGCTACCTCTACCTCTACCCCCAAATCTTTTGAGACAAGGTCTCACTGTGTAGCCCAGGATAGCTTCAAACATAACCTCCTATTTCCTAAGCAATGGAATTTACAATCATGTGCAGCTCAACCAGCTGTGTGTGAGGAAGTGTGGGGGGGGGATTATACATGCATGTATGTGCATGCTTGTGTGGGAAAGCAAGAGAATGGAGGTGGGCATCTTCCTCTGTTGCTCCCCCCATTTTTGACACAGGATCTTTCTCAGTGCTGAAGCTCATTGATTCAGAATGACTAACTGGCCAGCAAGCCGCTAAGGACCTTTCTGTCTCCAGCTCTGTAACACTTGGATTATAACCACTACTTCTGACATTTTTTAATGTGGGTGCTGGGGACCCAAATTTAGTTCCTATGCTTATCTGGCGTGAGATAAGTACTCTACTAAGCACCGGTGGTGCAGTGTCCAGGGAGACCAGAAGAAGTGTCAGATCTCCTAGGACTGGCCTTATAGACAGTTTGGGTGCTGGGAACTGAACACAGGTCCTCTGGAAGAGCAGCCAGTGCTCTTAACCACCTGGTCATCTCTCCAGCCCCCCATCCTCTATTTTAAAGCTGTCTCTGAACTCAATGCAGAGCTAGAGGTTCAACCTGACAGTAAGTCCCAAATTCCAGGATTAGTGTCTTTTGCAGACACATCTTCCCTCAGATCTGTAGTTATCATATCTCCCACCACCATCTTTGTCCCGGTAAAGGTGAAGGCACAGAGCCCTACTCATTTAACTCTCCCCCTACCTCCACCCCTGTCCTTTGACATAGCAGGGTACTGCCTTCCATGATTCTGCAAAGCCAGGCAAATACTGTCCACCATGATAGTAGTCAGTGGCTACAATGTATCTGTAGGTCCTCTAATGTAAAATGGAAATAACAGTCAGCTTGGCCTGAGGACTAAAGGAGACCATATATGAGGAACCTCAGTGAGTTACTGTCACCCCGAAAACCTTACAAATCCAAAAACATTCAGGAGTGGATTCTTAATGATCAAATATGACAGTATCTACCAGCCAATAGAAACTGGGAGGATATGAAGATGATGTCATTTGCAACGTAAAAGAGGACCCTTCGTGAGCCAGAGGTGGGTGAGCTTTGTGGGCAGGCCAAGAGCATTCGGGGCCAAGAATGTAGGAAAGAGCAGGGTAAATAACACGGAAGCACATGCGCAGGAACGCACAAAAACGCAGAGTGCGCTCACAAGTCAAGATCAACTATGGCTCTCACAGTAAGCGCCCATGTTTTCTCCTCCCCTGTATTGAGCTCCGTGGTTTCCAAATGCTGGCTGCCACCTCCTAGGCTAGCATCATTACCCTAATGAGTCATAACTCACGTGTGAAGAAGCGTGGAGATGGCACAACACCATCCACAGCTCACCCAGCCATAAATTACCTCTGGGGATGCTTTCCTGGGTGGCCCTGGGCTGCCTTTTTAGAAGTATTTGTTCTGGAAGGCGTTGTTTCCATCTTTTGAAAAGTCTCCTGGCTCTCTTCTCCCCCCCCCCCCCCCCCCCCCCCCCCCCCCCCCCCCGTCACACATGTGCAAAGGTGACTCTGAAATACCTTCACAGCTCCAGGGTGTCCGCCACGCTAGTTTCAAACTGTGTCTTTAGGTCTACAAGACCTCCCCAAGCAGTTTGGGCTGGCCCCTGCCTCCTTACCCCTGCCCCGCCCCGCCCCGCCCCCACCCCACCCTGCTATAACCTCTGCATCAAAGCCGGTCAAGGGCCAAGTTGGCAGTGCCCGACAGTCCCCGGATCCTTGCAGCCCAGACCATTCCCTTGTACCTGTTTTTGCTGCTGTGCTCCACGCCTGCAATCACAGCGTTACTTTCCAGATCGCTCTCCGCCCCCACCGTTAACTAGGGGAATCAGGGTGGGAAAAGTACTTAGCCCTCTCATCTCATTTTCACCGGTGTGCTGGAAATACTGCTACTTACTTGGGGGAGGGGGCAGTTCGTAAGGACTAATTTATGTTGGCAGTTCCTCTCTCTTCCCTGGATCGTCAGGGGCACTTTCTTCCAAGCTTCTTTTGCTCCCAGAACATCCCCGATCGCTTCTTGGTTGCCAGATTAAATCGAGTGCAATATCCGGGGCTCCATGCCATCTAAAGTGCTGTGGAAACCGAAGCATCAAAACAGTTTTCTGTCGCACTTGCTCCCAGAAGGCCTTTCTCAGTTGAGTACACAGAACAGGGCAGAGAAGAACACAAGAGGGACTTGCAATTGCGGTCTCAACAGTAAGGTGACCCACAGCCATCTCCTTAGTCTGAACAAACCTGTCAACGCAGGTTAGCCCTGAGAAACAGACTTACTACAGGGGGGCGCGCAACTGGGGCCGAGGGACCACGCCCTTGGTCTGGAGGGACGAGTCCCGAGCTTCTGGGGCTCTGTGGATGTACCGCGGAGGCCCGCAGCAGACCCTGGTGGCGGCGAGAAAGTTTCTCACCTGCGGGAGAGGGTGTGGCCGGGTCGTGGTGCCCTGCGCCCACTGGATGCTCAGCTCAGCCCGAAGAGCTGTATTCAAGGTTATCCTGACCCCTCGGGCCGGAAGAGCTGACTTGAGCAGCAGGGCAGGCTGCAAACTTGGGAGCCCTTCAAGAGGCCCCCAAGCTGCCCTCAGTACAGTCTGTACCCCAATCCCTCTTCTCCATCCTTCCCATCTTCTCCCACTCCGATCCCAACACGAGTGCAGACTGAAAGGCACCCGGACCCCAGGCTAGCCCCACGCCCCATCCTGCTCCGGGTTACCGCAGGCTCTGCACGGTCCAGCTCCTCCGGGGCGCGAGCCTCGCCGCCACCGCCGCCGCCGCCGCTGCTGGCCTGAGCTGTGCGAGTGGCTGGCTCCCTGCGTCGCTGTGCGGTGGAGACGCGCGTTCGCGACCTAGCGGCGGAGGCGGCGCTGGGCACCGAGGCTGGGGCTGAGCTCCTGAGGCGCCTCCCCAACCCCTGGGCTCCACAGGAGCCCGCCCTCAGTGTAGGTGAGAACCTGCTGCGGGGAGGAAAGGAAAGGAAATATGTTCTGTGATACTTTGCCCTCTCTGGCTCTGTAGTGCCAGCTTTGGGTACCAAGCTCTCGGGAGCTGAACAAGAGGAAATGAACAGAGGCTTGCCAGTTATTCTCAGCCTTGTGTTCAAGTTCACCGAGGCTGGAGTCTTCCATAATGCACTGCTTAAATCACCATCACAGTTGTCGAGTGCCTCCTCCAGCCTATAGGTACAGATGCCAAGGAGGCATCAAACATCCTCCAGACTGACCCCGAAGAGTTAGCAGTGGGCCGGAAGCAGGCTTCAGTTAACAGCCATGACTCTCTTCTGCATCCGTTTGCTTAGCCACTCTGTATATACAACAACTTTCTAGAGCATAGATCTAGTAAGGAGACAGACAGTAAGTAAAACTCGCCATACATGAATAAAGTGTGGCGGACAAAAATACAAAGCAGAAAACAGGGCAGTGGAAGGAGGGGTGGGGGATGGATTCAGAGCTGGCCTTACTAGTAGTTTAACAAGAAGGCTTATGTCTGGGGAGAGAACACTAGCTGTGAGCCAGGCACTAAGATGTCCCTTATCGTATAATATCCTAGTGTGTGTGTGTGTGTGTGTGTGTGTGTGTGTGTGTGTGTGTGTGTG